AAGCTAGATTGAAATCATGGGTTTAATTTTAGGTTGTTTCTTATGGTGACTGGCTCTATGCTCCTTTTCTGGTTCAATTTGGACTATCATGTTTTATGGGGTATGTAGTTTAAGTATCTCACAATGTCACAACACCAATCCTACATGTAGCCCACTATAAACTTGCTGTAAAGATGCAGGAAATGATGTTGTACTTCATGTATTTTTTTCTGTTCCATTTACAGGTTTATTCTTATGTATGCAGTAGTGCTATGTACTCAGGCCAATTCAGCGCTTACTACAACCATAGTTGGATGTYTAAAGGTTATTAAAATAATATATAATAATGGATTATTAATTCAAAATATATTGCTATTAATACTTTGTATGTAGCACATCCTTCAAAGATTGGAAATCACCTCAGAGATCTAATTATTATTTAGATTTGTGTTCACTTTACTGTGTTAATGGGAAGCACTAAATTCCCAAACTAGTTCCCAGGACTATATTCCTGCATTTGGGGGCAGTCAGAATCCTGCCTGACTCCAAGCGAAGGGATAAAAGGTCCTGGGAATGACGTTAMCAAATGCTATTTTAGTAGATTGTGTTGCCCCTATTCTTTACCGTACAAAGATTTATATCTGAGTAGACGGCAGATGACTTGCAATTCAGGCTGTATGATAGAGTAAACCTTGTTTGAGTGTCAAATTATAATTGCTTTGATATTTGCATGGCTTGAGACCCTAAACAGCACTGGTCACCAAAATTCTTCCTTCATCTTCTGTATGTGACGAAAGCACAGATAGGAACATAAGCTCTTTCACTGATGAATAATCAACAGTATTTTTTTATATATCAATTTTGTTATTTCAGAATATACTGGTTACATACTTAGGTATGATTATTGGTGGCGACTATGTGTTTAGCTGGACTAACTTCATTGGTCTCAATGTCAGGTATAATAAGCCATTGTACTCATGCTATATGTAGTTATTTCGAACACTGTTGTCAGTGAGATAGTAATAGAATGCACAACTGAAATTACTACGCACAGCATTCCGTTTCGAGTGATAACATCATGATAAACTCCTTGCATTTGACGCCGAAACAGTTTTATCTGGGCATAGAGTCAATTCCGTTTCGAGTGATAACATCATGATAAACATAATAATAATAATATAATAATAATAATAAATAGTATTTATATAGCGCAAAATATCAATGAAGTTCTGATGCGCTTTACAAAATTTATAAAAATAGTTATAAAAATTTATGAAAAAAGATATAAATGTTTATTTGTAAAATAAAATAAAAAAAACAGTTTTATCTGGGCATAGAATCAATTTCGTTTGAGTGGGAAAAGTACTGTAGAAATTACCGCACAGTTACCGGACCTGGCCTGCACAATTTTTGTGAACCAATGAGACACTAGAATTTGGTTACAGTACGATTACGGTCACAGTACAGTACCGTCCGTTTCCCACTCATACGAAATCGGCTCTAGTAGAGGAAAACTACTAACTTTGAGCGAGGGGACAAAACAAAGAATTTTTTGTTCTCTTGGGAACTTTAAACTAAACCTTCTCACATAAATTCCATTCTCACTGAGTGCACAGGGATTAATCTGCCTAAAAACACGGAAAATCCAAAAAGTACCATATTTATCGTTGTAAATTGTTTAAAACCCTTTAACTGTATATTATAAATGTGAATTTTCATTCTTTTCTAGCGTGATGGGCAGCATTATCTACTCATACATAACCTTTATGGAAAAAGAAAAAAAACCAGGTTCGATATCAACTCCTCCCCAGACTGGGAGAAAAATAGARGTCTAATTCATTCATTGTGACGTCCCGTCATCGTATCAGCAGGTGGGCAGTCCATTGCCAGCCTTTCCTAAGACTCAAGAMTGATGATGTCTTTCATTAAACCGGTTTTTCGTCGTTTTATTTGAAATTGTCTACCTTTTTGTCGACTTTTCCTCTTCGTACAAGTAATATCTGAGATGGMTTTGTCTTGAGTCTTGGGTGGGTTGGTGGTTAGTGCGTTTGTGCTATGTCAGTCAGGAAGTTAGCTGAAGTCGGTTTACAGGGATATAAAACGTTGTATACTCCATGTAAATAAGATGCTCACACGAGCAACGTGAATGAAAACGCAGGACTATACAAACGCAAAGTTTCTTGCGTTTGCATTTGCGTTTGCGTGCACCAGTCCTAATTTACATTGAAGTCAGCGTACGGAATTTATTGTGTGAAAGAAGTCACACGTGCATCATTTAAACAAATCTAAACGCTAACTAAAAAGACGGAAATCGCTCTATTAACTTGATGCGTAACCGCTTTAACGCTCGAATTTAACTGCATAGCATAGGCATTCAACTGACCCTATGGCATCCTCGGGAACTCCAGGAGGATCTTTCCGAGGATGCCCTAATGGTGTAGCCTGTTTTACAGACTATCAAGAGCCTGAAAAGCAGGCTATCATTATGGCTGCATCACACATAACTTCTTCTTRTACTAATGTAATGATATTAACTTTATTTACGAGAAATAACACTGCTAATACTTTGTATTTTGCTGTGTTAACTCTGATAATATGAAATCCAATTGTATACAGAGTTTTTACGGACACAAAAAAGCGCATGTACTGTATTAACCATCATCCTTTGCTCTAGAAAATGACGTCGTATAATGACGTCATTAAGGTTTGGGCGAAGTGCATCATGGTATTGATGAAATTCTTCATCGAAAATTGCGATAGTGGAAGTAGAGAGAATCATTTCGAAGAGAATTACATGAGATTTTGCTCTCTAGAGTATGTCAAAAGACGTGTCAGTGGAAGAAKTAATGCTTTCTGTTCGCAGCCTGAGACCATAAACGCGAATAGTACACAAAACAACAGGACAGCATGGCTCAGTTTGTATTTTTGTCAATCCCATGGTGCATCTCGTTCACGTTATTTCAGGAGCCTTCACTAACCCTGGCGTTGATGTGGATTGAACGGCTTCAAATTTTCAATAAAAGTGAATGAAAAGTGAGGATTACATTATTTTGATTGTAGATTGCAATGACAAAGCATCGAAGGAAAATGGTGGACAAGTTGAACAAACTCGTCCCCAGGTCCTTTTACTGAACTGGGAGCAAGGACGCCATTTGAAGACGTGAGGAGACTTGTAACTAAATAATAGTCATAGATAGTTATTGGAACTACACTGTAAACTACGTTTGATATATTATATATTTATATGTTCTATTTATGACAACAGACACCTGTCGTTCCTAGTTTTCTCGCTGTCCAATTTGACAGATAGCGAATTGTAAGAGCTATTTAGGGTATTTTGTATTTGAAATAGTAAGTCAAGGTTAGATTATAGTTGCTTTTATTACATTATTTAATAATGCTTACAATGTCGGATCATTCTTCTGCWGTTTGATTCCAAATAAAGTCTTCTTTGTAGTTTTCTTGGAGTACTTTTTTCAGCTGTTCACCATGAGCTGCATTGCGCATCTCAGCGACACATTTTACCTGGAAAAGAATTGGATGATTTGATCAATTGATTGACCAGTTACATGATCGATTAGTTGCTTGGCAACCCATTGGGTAAAAATCTGTCGCTCGTTACCCCCTGACTTATTTACAAGGCGTGTCACGTGTGGTAAGTAATCTGCACACATTCTCGCAAAATGGCGCCGAACCTACCTGGATGCTAAAAATAGAACTGTTCAACCACGTTCTCTCTTGGTTTAGGTCCTTCACACTGCAAAACCAAGAAGACTAGGTGACAAAAGGTTGACACTAAGTGTATAAGTCTGGATACCTTTAGCGCGTCCTATGCCAATTAGGTTAACGTTTTACCAATCTATTTACCCAGCTATCATGTGTAAATCTGTCATGTCGCGAGTTAGGGGACTGTATCTTTATAAGTCTGTTYAAGTCGACATCGTTAATCTGATATGTTACATCTATGTTTTATTACATATACACAAAGCCTATTACTGCTATTAATCAGAAATCCAGTCAGTTTCGAATGCCAACTGTTTCGTCATACCTTACACCGGTCGAAGCTATTAATGATGTAAGGCGCGCTAAGGATCCTGGTCTATCACCGATCTTGACTAAAAAGCGCACCATTCGGCCATCGGCTGTCAGTCCTCGTTCAATTGCTCGTCCAAGTACGGTGGGATCGATGTTGCCACCACAAAGAGGAACAACAACACTACGAAAGAAAAGTAGATTTCAGTTCCTGCGAGTCTTCGGAGAAGTGCATCAGAATTGAATAGGGCATTGACTATGTCTACATCTAAGTACATGCAGACTGGTGCAAAGTCCATATAAAGCTACACTATTATAGTGGTGGGAACTAGCGGTAAACTAGTGTGAGCTGCGTCGGTGTTTCTAAAGAAACAGTTATGTAAAAAGATAAATTTAACACCGTAAAAAAAAGTATATGAAATATAACTTACTGACGTTTCGGACGTTAATTCTTCGTCGGACGTTAATTACTCCGACGAAGGATTAACGTCCGAAACGTCAGTAAGTTATTTCACATACTTTTTTTACGGTGTTAAATTTATCTTTTTACATAACTGTACACTATTATAGTACAAGGTCTCATTGACTAGCACCTATGTATGTAAGCATATCAAGTCAAGCCAACCTCAAATGTTGCCATTTTTAGAGCATCGAAGAGCTCTTATAACCACACCCACCCGCGGGCACTCTTTGCCCTATTCTTAGTCGAAATGTGTTGTCTTTCAATCCCTAGCATTGGTGCTAATGTGCAGATATAAAATTGTATCATTAAGCGTACCGTTTTCCTTTTAGCTCAGGTAGATATCCACCAATAAGAGCGGCCAGGCCTGCAGCCCCAGAACCCTCTACGATGGCCTTTTCCTTCTCCAGTAATCTGAGTACTGCCAGACCAATCTGATCCTCTCTAGCAGAAAACAACAAATATTTGATAAAATAGTGTTTTTATTTTTCTGTGACACGAAATTTTGCCGCTGTTTGTCGTACCTGACTGACACTACTTTATCTACGCGATTCTTTGCAAGATCAAATGGAAGTTGGCCAATTCTCTGACTGCTWAGTCCTAGTGTTGGAGTAATTAAAATTAGCCATCACGAACGACAGCAAAAGGAAGAGAGAATTGATGGCAATGTATAACTTACCATCAACGAAAGTAGCGCCTTTATGTGTCTTGATTGTAACCGGATGACCAGCTTTGAGMGCAGCATTGAAACTTGGACAATGTTCACTTTCAACACCCTTAAGAAGAACAAGACCTTAATTTATTATAGCCTGGTTAAGCATAATTTCAATGAATTTCAGTCTAGTTCGCAGAATACTTTGATAAAGTATATAAAACTCAATGTAGCATTACTTTTAAATACAATTAATAGTTATTTATAKTCATAACTTACAATTATTTTAATCTGTGGATATAGTGACTTGACAACAACGCAAGCAGMCGCTAGCAAAGAGCCGCCACCAACAGGCAGAATAATGGCGTCGATATCATCTAGCTGCTCGACTAACTCAATGAAAATCGTCCCAATTCCACTGATAACATAAGGATTCTCATTTCTAGAAGAGAAAAAAATGAATTATATGAGCGTTAAGACAAACTGCGGCCATAATAAACTGTGGCCTTTTTGTGGTTACTCTAGTCAAAAAGGCGGCGACACTATGTTATTGTGAAGTATAAGCAGAATGGATGTAAGCTCGTCTGAATTTTAAGCTGCGTCAACAACGCCAGTTTTCAATGACGAAAAAGCAAAAAACTGAAATGATTGAATATTTTCGATTCCAGCAGCAAGAAATATAAGTTCAAACCATAAAATACTTACTCATCAATGAATTTTAGCCCTTCAGMTTTTGACATGGTGTGTGCATTTTCTAAAACCTAGTAAAGAAAAGAGAAGCTTACGTAAATTTTGAACTAATCAAAGAATTGAATTCTATTTTGACTTAACATGCACGTCACCCAAAATGTCACGTGGTACCTCACCTCGTTGTCATCGCGACCAGCRAAGTGTGTCTTGGCTCCATGTCTGTCATAAAGCTTCAATTTTCTTGGATGAACGTTCTCTGGTGTAATGATCGTCACAGGAATTCCGAACTTCTTGCCATGYTGTGCGAGGGACAATGCGTGGCTGCTGGCCGATGTACCAAGTACACCACTACTGCGGTACTTCTGTCCAGCGAGAAAATCAAAAGCATGCGCAAGTGTGCATATTATCAATGAATTTGTGGATAAACATGTGGAGAGACAACACAGTGTTTGCCCAATGCTTATTCTTGGTATGTGGTCATGTGACTCTATATCCATAATGGTTAAGAGTGGAGTACCGTGCCTATGTCCACCCCAATCCTCCTTTACCCATTAATAAAGTCTAATAAATTTGGTAATCTTACACTATAGCTGCGTCCGAGTCAGTCTAACTTGCGTCTTACCTCTGAAAGCGTCATTAAAGCGTTCACAGCACCACGGGTCTTGTAGCTAAAAGCAATATTGAAATAGCTTTAATTTCAACTTATTGAATTCTACTAAAACATCTGCGTGCGCGCAACATTTTTGGACAGCGGTACAGAAAAGGCGTTTATAAGTAGATTACAAAGCGTCGCTAAAAGTTAGCATGCTGGGACGCACACTACATTTTCTGTATTTCACGCATACCTTCCAGAAACTTGCAAATATTCCCTTTTAAAATATACATCGTAATCTTGAATCTCTGGGATACGCTTAGCTTTCTGTAAAAACGGCAAAACATTATAATTTTGTAATTTGAATTTTGCACTTTCCACGCTCTGTTTTAGTTGATTTTACATCAAATCTCTCAAGTGCCGAGTTCAAGASAAATGAAGTTTACCTCACAAGGCGTAAGGTGGATTTCATCTCGTATTCTGTACGACGCTGTAGCCACATCAGTTAGTGAAACGTCATGCTGGTTCATACASATATCAGGAACGATAGAAACACTGTCAGCGCGGCCGCGTTGTGGTATCTTTTCCCACGAAGTGCTTCGCGATGTTCCTTTAGTTTTACCCAAGTCTTCTTTATTAGTCCTTTTTCCCCATGAGAATGTGTTATAACTACCTTTTGTTCTGCTGTTTTCTTCGATATCAGGTTTTCCTGATTCTCCATGTGATTCTGTTTTATAATCAAATCAACACGAAGGAAATCATACCATTGATATGAARAAGTTTGAAGAGTAAAAGCTAAATTGCACGCATGTTGTGTTTATAATTAGAACGGAACTAGTTTATGCTATGAGAGCATATCTATATAGTATATAGTTGAGATACAAAGACCAATTTTTTCAAACCGTGTAAGACTGGAAAACCTGTATGTAAAACAATGAAATCTTATCCCAAAATCTTCCACTTTTAAAGCGACCTTTTTACTTACGTGAATAATCTGAARARGAGACYAAAAATTCCTCTTTAGCTTTCTTTTTATCCATYATTCTAAAACGCTAATTAACTGAACTAGATTAGATAATGAGATTGTGACGTAATCTAATGACGCGCGTGCTCATGCGCAGCAATTGCGATCACCATCTCGTGCCCAGATCCTCCACAATGTTTTCAGACCGCTGACAAAAAGTCGGACAGACCCCAAGCTCATAATAACGTCACATGACGTAACAAAGGCTAATAATAAAGTAGTAATGGATCGAGATAAAAAGATGTCAGACGACAAAGATAAGTTTCCTTTTGCAAACCCGAAACCTCATGTTGCTTTATCAGACGGTTTGAGAAACAAAGTAAAAAGAATAGGCKTGCAGGGAGATTCAACGRATCCAATTATGATTGAATTTGAAGATATCTGTGCSGCTGARTTTCGTATCAGGAATAGAATCAAGCAAACACCATGTGAGGTACACAATCGCGGAATACTTTAGCGYGCAAAATATACTTTCAGTATAATTCCTTTTTTCCTTCAAACTATAATAGCGTGCGCAAGTGTTGCACGATGGAAGAGACAAATTTGTGTTTGTTTGTTGGTTATTTGTTTGGTARCCAATCAGGCAACCAACCAAAAAATCCAATGGCTGCCTTTCTAGTCGGCGGGCTGCTTGGTTGGTTCATGGGTTGGATGTCCCCGTGTTTTTGGCTGTCGATTGGTTGTTAGGCAAGCATAGTTTTTAACGGGTCACATTTTTGATGGAAGGAATCTGAAAACTAAAAGTATATGTACCTTTTCAATCCTTGGAGTATAACATCGTATTTTGCAGAAAGCGACATTTTCTAATTCTGACATAGCTGATATGGAAATATTTTTCAAGAAAGAGTACTTGCACACCACTGGAAGGTATAGTATATTGCTGTTCGCTTTATTCAATATGCTCTTTAGAATTAAATTTTAAATTTCCTGCATATTTTTGTCACAGTTTTAAAGAAAGAGGCGCACTGAACACCCTACTTTTACTCTCTGAGGTAGGATTCTTCTAATATAAATTTTATTAGCTTGTTACCGCGTATAAGACACAAATCTGCAAACTTTTTCTTTAGTAAGACCTGTTTCAATCGCCGGATCACAAATGTGCTTAGTCCAAAATCCAAATTACTTCAATCGATGATCAAATAATAATCTTTGAATCCGTTTTACAGGATCAGAAAGAACGTGGAGTAATAGCAGCGTCGGCAGGGAACCACGCCCAAGCACTAGCGTATCACGGAAACGCGTTAAATATCCCAGTAACGGTCGTTATGCCTGATGGTGCACCTATCGTCAAACAGACGATGTGTAAAGAGTATGGAGCAAATGTCGTTCTTAAAGGACAYAATCTACAAGAGGTGTGTTTACTTTCAGTTCAAGTTCATAAAGTTMGTTTACGGCGAGTATTCTACTCATTTGCGCTGCCCGCACATACATGATAATTTCATTCTGTGTAAGTAGTAAATTAATCTCCACTTGTTTGGGGTTTACTTTTTTACTTTAGTCTAAAGAATATGCTGTCAACATGGCTCAAGAACAGAGTCTGGCATATATCAATGGGTAATTGATGAAACCTTAAGGCCCGTTTACACTTGCGATTTTTGCAGAGCGATTCTCGCGGCGATCGTCGCGCGACTATCGCCTAAGTTCCGAACATGCTTGAAAATTCAGTGGCTAGAAGTTGCGATTATCGCGCGACAATCGCACTGCAAAAATCGCAAGTGTAAACGGGCCTTTACAAATCGCCTTATCAAAAGTTATCTCAAATCGATGTTGATCTATATAGGGCGATTAGTTTCTATAGGTTTGCCTAGTTCTTCACAACCTCGTTGCCCCAGGCGAAGGACCTGGGAACGAGTATGACTTTCCATACACAAAAAGATGTTAGACGCTCTTAGAGCGTTTACTCGGTCAGCGCTTCCCCTCGAAAGCCTTGTGCTTTGATGACATTCAAAGCAATATAACTTAAATTGCTTACACATTAATTCTGATGAAAGTAATGATGATAATAATGACACAAATAACCATAAGTTCACTTACACAGGTATGACCATCCTCACATCTTAAGTGGTCAAGGAACTATTGGTTTAGAAATTATCAACCAGGTCYATCCACTAGACGCCATTATTGTTCCTGTTGGAGGTGGTGGGATGTTAGCTGGTATTGCTAAAGCAGTCAAGTCAGTCTACCCTCATATACAAATCATTGTAAGTCATTTGTATTTGTAATAGTTGTTTCAACTTCATTCATGCGCGATGCTAATACCCAGGTTAACCTCCGTTGCAGCCGTCGCATGTCTTTATTAGTCGTCTGCAAAGGAGGTTATGGACATTGTGTTTTTCCTGTAGGCAGTAGAGTCTGAACGATGTCCTAGTTTTAAGGCAGCGATGGAAGCCGGTAAACCTGTCAAGGTGGATGCCCATCACTCGTTGACCATAGCCGACGGTAAGCATAACCCCACCCCTCCCCCATGACTATTCTAGTACTTCGTTGATTAACCAATCAAACTTCGTTGATTAACCAATTTAACATATAGATTCGAGGCTAAACGAATTAATATAATATTAATTATTATCTACTATCATGAAATACCATTTTTCTGTAGGTCTATGTGTACCTGAGGTTGGAAGCAACGCTTTCGCAAATTGTAAAGATTTGGTCGACAAAGTGGTCATTGTACGGTAAGTGCACAGGGAGCCCAGCGCAGCACCACAGGAATCCCATAAAAAATCCTTTTATTATTATTTTTAGAGAGGACTTCATAGGCTTGGCTATATTATATCTCATGGAAATGGARAAAGCCGTTGTAGAAGGAGCGGGAGCATCTGGTCTAGCAGCCGTTTTATCTGGTCAACTTCCAGAATTAAAAGGAAAAAGGTTCGTTATATTGGTATCTTTTTGAAAACAAAAAACAAAAAATTGCATCTTCTGGAATTAAAAGAATTAAAAAAAAGAAAAAAAGGAAAGATTTTTTATTGAAAATTAAAAAGGAAAAAAACAAACGTTGAAAAAAATTAAGCCTTTAGAGAGACTCGAACTCTCGACCCCTGGTTTACTAGACCAGTGCTCTAACCACTGAGCTATAAAGGCCGCTTGTCATAATAAGACAAAACTTGGAGTTTTATACTGTACTTAGTTAAAAGAAAGTTTTCACTATACTCTAAAAGTTGTTGTTTTAATTTAGTTTTAAGATAAGTTAATAATATAATAAGTGTTCACTTTCTTTTTGACAATTTTAGAGCTTTAGGAATAAAAAACCTAGTAGTAGATCAATAATAAACTTCCTAGCTTCCGAAAAGGCCCTTTTTAGACAGGAATGGCCAAGCAGATCTTTTAACATTGCAAATTTTCCCTCTTATTTCTAAAAGCATTATGTATTATACGAAATTAATAGTAAAAAAACGGTTATCGTTCAAGGCTTTAAAAATCCTGAATTTTCGTGATTGAAAGCGTGACTCAATACCGTATAGTGTGACACGTGCGTGACAAAGTTCAGCATGCCCAAAGTCTGAAAAAAAATATTCGATCAATAATTACTTCTATTTTTGCTTTACAGAGTAGTAATTCCACTATGTGGAGGCAACATCGACCCAGCAGTTGTTGGTAGATGCATTGATCGAGGTCTCGCCACAGATGGTAGACTTGTGAGGTTTGTTGTGACGGTGAGCGACAGACCCGGTGGCATGGACAGCCTCGTCAAGCTTGTGGCAAAATCCGGCGCAAAGTAAGACTTTATAAAATTGGCATGAAATAACTAAGAAATATTTTTTATAATAAAGTTAAAAACATATATTTTAGATCCGAATTTTGTCCCTTTATTTCATTCACTTCCTAATTTTGAAATGGGAAATATTTGCAAATTATTTGTTTCACATGAAATTCTTCTACTTTTAGTATCAAAGACTTATTCCATGAAAGAGCATGGCTGAAGAGTAGTGTTTTCAAAGTACAGGTATGCAAGAAAAAATCACAACAATCACTCTCAGGTGCTTTTGCTAACTAGTTGATTGAACTATTTCACAGTGCAAAGTCATTGCTGAAGTAAGAGATAGAGCACATGCTGAAATATTGAAAGAAACACTGGAAAAAACATACGATGAAGTCCACTGGAACACTGAACATGCTTCATCTTACACATAAAAATTCTGCCACCAAAATATTTACTATATGGAGCGTTTTTATCAATACATATTTCAAAATAAACKTTTCAGATATTTATTTTAATAAACAAGCATTATTATACAATTGTWTTCAGTTGTTTTTACAAATTTGTTYRTCCTTGGAATGGRAAATTCTGTGCAAGACCCCRCAATTATAGTGCAATGAATATTGATGAGGTTWAATTCTCTCCTGATTGTTCTCTCAGCCAATCATATCACAGAAAAGAAGAGAAATTACGTTTTGACCAATCACAAACAAGATCCTATAATCCTGCAATATCATTGGATACACAGCACRGTGTTCTACTAACWTTCAAAATTGTACTTCACATGATTTTAGATGCATTAATGTRATTTCRGATAGATCTTGTGCAACTCCCTTGSTAACATCTATGTGAATTTTTTTCTGTAATAACTCATTCRGCCATTGGATGGATAAGGAGAATGCAATCTTGCTGATAATGACACTGGGGTGTGACACATTCCAGAATGCCTTTACCCACTATAATGTCATGTGTAGATCTCATCTTTATCAAGGTTGCTTGACCAATTGAGTAGCTCCTCCACTTCATGTTCAGAGGGCTCAATGTCTTTCGATATAGACTCTGACACAGTCGAATTRATGTTGGATATTGGTTCTAGGATAGCAACAAGAATTATWAGCACCCAACATATAAATATAGTGYARGTAGAGAAACATAATTTACCTTGCTTTGGAAGATATATCTGCTTCAACATATTAATCCTTGTTGCTTTCATTTCTTCTATATCCTGTTTCTTCTCCTTTTCCTTTCCAAATTTCCCATACATCAAAGAATTATGTTCTGTAATTTGCTTYTGTATTTCCTCTTGTAATTCTTGCTGCTGCAAGCCAAAGTGTGCTGCTTGAAGCTTGGAATCAGACCTCAATATATCATTCAGAGGGTTTTTCGCATTGTGTACAGGACGAGTGGTAGCAATGCCACTCCAAAGTGAATGGTAGTCTTCGAAAGAAACCTTGGCTATTTTGATTTGTCGCTTTTTACCAGGGCTTGTGTCTTCTTTCTSTGCTAGTTCAGATGTGGTAGTGTCTATAGGTTCTTCAATATGTGGACTTAGACCGGCTGATTTAGAGGGAAAATACGATGTTATTTTACAACAAGCTAATGATTGTTTGCTACATTTTGCATCTGTTTTTGCTTTGGGATCCCTGTTCATGTACTAAATACTAGGACAGAGTTCCCGAGACAAAAGCAAGTGTAAAGAAGACTAACTACCAATTCCATTGCATTTAATATTGAATCAGTG